CGGGCGATGACGGACCGGTTGCTTTGGGTGTCCGATGTCGGTGTTTGTCACCGGTTGCACTGCGTTCAGGAGATGTTTGTGAGCCGTTGGCTGAGCCGGTGAGGTAGCGGTGGTACCGGCGCGGCGGTCCCGCGCAGCCCGGGCGGGCGCTGCGTGAGGCGCAGTCAGCTCGTGTCTGAGGTAAAGGTGTTCGAAATGTTGGAAATCTGCCTTATTTTTTATTTTCTCCGACACCACCACCCCACCCCGCCCCCCCGATTCGGGCTGAATTAGTTTTTGTTGCCGGATTTAGATGGTGAAATGAGGTGCTCTAGAGAACATTCCCCATCATTCGGGGGAATCCTTCCCCATTCTCCTGCTGTGTCCCGCCTGTTCCCAGTGGACAGAGAATTTGTTGTTATTTCGTTGTTGCAGCAGTTGCTGTGGTGGGGCACAGGGCGCACCTCAGCCCGTTCGCCCTCGGAGAGTGTGGGGTGTCAGCGAGGTCTCCGATGTGAGCAGCATTCAGTCACTGTCACCCCCGTTTGGCCATCCTTAAAACCGTAAGTAATAATTCCTAACAAAAGCTGCAGCTGAGCAGACCTTGTTTCTTGAGCGCCGGTAATCGGAATAGCTGAAAACACTTCGTAATCTTCAGGTGCATTGCATGGAGAAATAGGTGTTGTAGGGACGGCTGTGCCTTCACATGGCTGTTTGTTCAGGCTGGACAACTCATCCTAGCCTCAAATTATATATATATATATAAAAGCCCAGTGCCTTTTTTCTGGTCACATATGAAACCTATGGTATACTTCATTGTGTTATCAAGTCTTTATGCCTGATGATAACCTGGAAGCAACTCTTTCAATCTCATTTTCCACTAGATTGTAAAAGGAAGAATGTTTTAAAAACTGAGCTAACACTATCAGCTGAAATGCTAATACAATGTTAGAATTCAAAATGACTGATTACAGTAAATTTATTGTACTTTCTGTTGCCATTTCACTGTTGTATTTTAAAAAAAAAAAAAGCAGGCTTACTAATTTTTTTTCAATTATTTAGCAGTGATCAGCTGTTAGAAATACTTTTAGCTCTTGTTGAAGTATCAGTGGTTATGGAAGGCACTCATTGAACTCTTCTTTCCTCATTCGAAGTCCAATCTACATATTGTTGGCTTTTGCCCTGTGCAGATGTGTCATTTCTAGCTGTGCAGGAGCAGTGAAAACTGACATTTTGTCAGCTGGGTGATTTATATCAAGAACTACTAGAAATACTGCTGTGCGTTTTTCTTGGACCAGCTTTGTCACGTTCCTGTGTTTCAGTTTTTTCAGCAGCAAGCTATGTTTGTAATGTTAGCTCATAGCAGCCAGTCTGGTGGTGATTGCATTGGTGTGATGTCTTAGAAGTGAAGTACGTAGTGAGTAAATGTCTCCATGAGGTATAGTAGGCCTTTAGGTGGTCTTTGATCTGTTTATCACACCATGCACATACATTTTCCTATTAATTCTATAAAATGCATGATACCATTTACTGTTACAATTTTTTTCACAGGCAGTACTGAAGTATTTTGCTGAATTATAAGTACATAAATGATACTTATATCTAGCTGATATGGTTGCTCTGAAAGTCAGCATTTAGTATATGACAGGCATACAGGACAAAATCATTTTTGGCGAGCAAGAGGTTGAACACAGTATATCATTAGGCTATCATTTTTCAGTAGAAGAGATCAATCTGGGAAATTATGTATGCATTTTTGCATTTTGTGGGAATTGAAGTATTTTCTGCCTAATGAGTTTGGCTTTAAAGTGTTGCATAAACTGTTTTAAATGAAAGTGTGCTGGAAACTCTCTCAGACACAAAATGGCTGGAGAAGACTTTGACAAAGACTGCTAAGATTCAGTTGCCCAGAAGTCACTTTAGGGGACAAGATACTTGTACTTCTTCTCTCAGTTGTTCTGCTTTCTTCCAGCCATATTTTTCAGTCTTCCAGAAACAGATCCAGACCCATTTGTTCCAAGGGAGTCTTTCATCTCAGCCTTTTGTCCCAGGCTCAAAGCAAGCCCATGTTTCTCTACAGCTCTAATGTGGGGCACTTTCTTGCTATCTTTCTATAGTTTTAGTATTCCAGAAAAAATGAGCAGTGTAACAGGAGGGTCTTTTTTTTAGCTATAAAGTTAATTTACTAGGTCTCTTCAGGTTGAATTCTGTACTGAAACGAAGTTCACTGAGCAACTGTGCTCCTTACAGTGCTGACCTGCAAAGGTTTGATTACTGAATTCCAACATTACTTATCTTACATGACAAACGAGTAAAAATGAAAACAAGAGCCAAACAATCATCCACTGCACAATTTAGTTATTTCCTCCTCCATTCGTTTCTACGAGTCTGGGTCTGAAAAGTGCTCTGTTTAGAAAACAAGGTGTCTGGGATCAATACTACCACTCACTGTGTGTTTAGCCTGCCTGGTAAAACTGGATAGCTTTCTGTAATGGATCTTAGTTTCAGGAAGCAGTGGTAGATGCTAGTGGCCCTGCAGCTCAGGATTCTGTCAGAGCCAGTTTAAGTGATGAAGAAAATCATTGCTCTGTTAGCCACTTTGTATAATTCATTTCCTTTCCACAATATGTAAGAATAGTTATTCTGGGACAGAGCCAGGATTCATCTCGTCCAGGATCTTGTTTCCATTAGTAGCCATTAGCAGACAAGCCCAGTTACTGGCTTGACTCAGGACTCTCAGATAAACCATATATACAGATTTTCAGATCACTTTTTGAACATTTTCATAGGCTTGTGAAGAGATGGTTCTGCCTAAAGATTTTGTTAGAATGAGATTTTTGGTTATTTTGCTGTTTGCCAGAGCTCTCCCTGCCAAAATATTATCACAACAAAAGTAATACTACTCTCAAAGAAAAGGAATACCACTGTGATTGTTATTAAAATCGTTTATGCTTAGCAGTATTCATTAAGTACAAAAGCTTGTATTGTGGTACTACCAAATACTGCAACACTTCAGGTGTCTCAGGTGAGAGATGCAGAAGGCATTGGAGTGCTCTATGCTTGGCATCCCTCACAGTCTGTTTTTCTGCCTCTGTAGCCCCCTTGACACTTCTGGTCAGTCTGATTTCATGAGTCAACAAGGAGGTAGGTGCCTGCTGGAGGTTCTGTCTCTGAGGTGGCAGTTGACAGCTGAAGATGTACTCAAGCTGGATGTCTGGCTGTCCTGGTGCTTCTCCCTTTCAGTCAGCAGTCCTGCTCGAGTAAAGGCAGGGGCAGCACAAGAAAGCTGTGCTGGGAAGCAGAGAAGGAGGAAGAGGGACGGGAACAAGCCCCTTTCTAGCTCCCCTGGGGTCCCCACGTTCCCACGCTCAGTTGTCGGAGGAGAAGGAGCACACTAGCAGAGAAAGAGGAGAGGCAATGCAGAGCAATGGCCAGACTAGTAACTGGTCAAGTTTTGGCATCTTGCCTTTCTGTGTGGAAAGAGCTTGCCTCGCAGCACCCTCTGGCGGGCCCTGCGATGGAGTAAATGGAGGATCAGAAGCAGGCTGTATTGTAAGGTGTTTTCCCTCACAATTAGAATAATGGAATCGTTTAGGTTGGAAAAGACCATCCAGTCCAACATCGCCTGGCAGTTAACCCAGCACTGCCAAGGTGATGATATAATGTAATCTGTAGATTTATATATATATAAATATATAATTTCATGAGACGGTGATTTTTCAGGGTGTTCAAGATCTGCTTTCTGCCTGCCAACATTTGTCAAAAATCCTGAAGGAGCTTGGTGGGTTATAAAGCTGCACATTAAAGGAGTGAGAGTTTAATGTGGGCAGAAAACACCTTATCTGCAGAATGCAACTGCAGATGGTAAAAGGGTATTTACTTGCAAAGAGAATTATAGTGCCCAGTGTGAGAAATGCAGAAATTAAAGGTACTGTTTACAGAGAAAAAACAGTGAACTGGATGTGTGTTTGGCCTCATGCACTGGAAACTGCCCCAGAGAATACTCTTACAGATGCTCCATTTTATTGTGTAATTACTCATTTCTGTGTGGTGACTACGTGCATGCATATTCCCTAGAAACATCACAACTCACCTGAAAGCACAGAAGATGAATTTTAAATACTGAAAATGAAAATCTGCTTAGTGCTTTATTTTGGTATCACAATCTTTCTTGCAGTTTATATCATACTAAAGAGTAGGGAAATACTTTGGCTGCAGCCATTTTGCATATTATTTGTACTGCTTACAGTGGGTGGACTAGTTCAGACACAAATTATGGACTAATAGTTATGCTGTCTGTGTTTTTGTTGGCACAGTACTGTCTGCAGCAGTACTTGGGTGGGAATCAGAGTGAGGAGAGGTCAGAGAGGCAGTCAACACAGATTTGAGTTTAAAACCCCAGCTTTTTGTTTGACATCTACATGATTTTATTCCTTACTCCCTCATCCCTTGCTGATAAGGTATAAAGACCAGTTAGTATTTTATTCCTGCTGTGGTCTTCATTAGAGTGGAGCAGCAGTTCTGTGTAGTTAGAACAGAAACACATTAATTCGTTAGGAAGTATCACTGTGTCTCTAAAAGGTATGTAATGGGCCAGACTGTCAGGAGCTACAGGATGCAGCCAGTACAGAAAATACCTGACTTTTGCAGAGACTTGACGTAGTTCTGGCTGCCTGTCTTTCAGGTGTAGAAACTGTTTCAGGAAAACTTGAACTAGCAAAAGCAGCTGCTCTTCCGTGTTAACTTGGGTTCTTTCCTCACCTCTGTTGAAGTGTCAGTGCAGACTGCTGGGTTGCTGATAGTCGCCACTGCGTTGAGAAAACTTATAAATGCTTCTGGTGGCATAATATGCAAAAAATAGTATTTGAATAAAGCAGATTTTACCTATGAAGAATTGAATTGAATTAGTTCAGCCATACTGAATTAAACTGGATGTTTATCTACCTGTTCTTGTGCCCAACAGTAGCAGGTATTGCATTGCTAGGCAAAATGTTAAATAAAGGATGTGTTTTCTCCGAGTAGACCTCCCAGATGCAGGCAGACACCTCCGGCCATCTACAGTCAAGGGAGTTGCTAAACCACCAGTTGGAGCCTCGTCTTTGCTTTCACAGCCTTATGGAGGTTCTCTTCCATTAATTACTTTCAGTGGATATAATAATTTGTTGAACTCTTGTATAGTCTTGCTGCCACAGCATTTTGAGGTAGAGTTTCACATTTTTATAATGCAGTGTACAGAAAGCTTTTGTCATGAGTGATCATTTAATTGAATTCTCCCAATTTTCCTGTTTTGAGCAGTTGTGAGAAAGTGTTTTTGCAGATACTCTGTCCAGGCCAGTTGTGACCTGTTCAGGAAGCATTTCTTCCAGGCTGAGGAACTTCAGTATTCCTTTTACAGAAGTAATTGACTGTCATTTTGATTAATCTTTGTACTTGACTGTATTCTGCTACATTGTCTTGAAGGATTATCATGGCCAATTAGCATGCAAAATATGATGCTCTAAAAACAGTCATTGGTCCCGGAGAGAGTCAGGAGTCATTGGGATCTGAGTCAGGAGATTTTGGCATTAGGCCAAGGGGCCAGTGGTTCCATAGTTAACATTTTATGGTTTAGTGCAGGGTATCAGACTACACCCGTCATTCTTCAGTTCCCTTTTGAGTACAGCTATCATATTGATTGTGCAGCAAATACAAAAGCCAACTCACAGTGTGTTTGGTCCACAGACACCTTGCCACCCCATCCCATTGCCAAAAATTGGCAGCATTATTTGTTTGCAGGCCAAACATTAATACCAGAGTAGAGAGACTGCGCTACTCTTTCCATACTTGTCTGCCTGGATATATTAGTGGGCATTTCAGTGAATATAGTGACATCTGGGTCTAGTAAAAGGTCTGTTTTTTTGTGGCTTTAAATTTGCTCATGAGCCCGGCCCTGAGAAAATAAGGTTATTTATGAGCACTCTGTTACATTTTGTCTCATCTTGCTATTTAAAAACCAAGCCTGTTGAAGTGAGAACAATCAGGTTACTGTGCAAAGGAGCTGGCACGGGGCAGCGGGATGAGCGGACAGTGGGGTGGATTGCAGCCTGGCTGAAGGCCAGGCCCACAGGCTGGTGGTCAGTGGAATGAAGTCTAGTTGAGGGCCAGTAACTAGCAGTGTACCCCAGAGGTCAGTGCAGAATCCAGACCTGCCCTCACTAACAAAATGGATGATGGGGAAGAGTGTACCTTCAGCAAGTTTGCTGAGGATAGGAAACTGGGAGGAGCGGCTGATACTGGGAGATCTCGCCAATGTTTATAAATATCTGAAGGGAGAGTGTAAAGAAAATGGAGCGAGGCTGCTTTCAGTGGTGCCCAGTGACAGGACAAGAGGTGATGGGCACAAACTGAACCACAGAAAGCTCCCTCTGAGCATCAGGAAACACTTCTCACTGTGCAGGTGATGGAGCACTGACAGTGGCTGCCCAGGGAAGTTGTGTAGTCTCCCAGGTTGGAGATGCTCCAGAGCCATCTGGACACTGTTCTGGGCTGGATGTAGATTGATGAGAATGTAGAGAAAAGGGTCTTGCCTCAGCAGGCAACACCACCACTAAATCCTCAGTGATAAACACAGTTTTAGAAATTACTAAATGCTGTTGCTAAGCTACAGAAACAGATTGTATGGTGAAGCCAGGAACATAAAACAGTGAAGAGGCATTTTTAACTGAGTGGCTATAAATTGGAGTGGATGTGAGGAATATACAGATCTTTGAATCCAGAGAAGAGCAGTGAAGCTGGTGAAGGGTCTCGAGAACAAGTGCCGTGAGGAGCCGCTGAGGGAGCTGGGCTTGTTTAGCCTGGAGAAAAGGAGGCTGAGGGGATACCTTATCACTCTCTGCAACTACCTGAAAGGAGGTTGCAGGGAGGTGGAGTCAGTCTCTGCTCCCAAATAACAAGTGATAGGATGAGAGGAAATAGCCTCAAGTTGTGCCAGGGAAGGTTTAGACTGAATATTAGGAACAATTTCTTCACCAAAAGGTTATCAAACATTGGAACAGGCTGCCCAGGGACATGGTTGAACCACCACCCCTGGGGGTGGTTAAAAGACATGGTGTAGACATGGTGCACAGGGACATGGTTTAGTCCTGGGTTAACAGCTGGACTTGATCTTAAAGGCTTTTTCAAACCAAAATGACTGTGTCTTGGGAGAAAAGTGTCTGCAAGCAAACTAATACCTTACTCATTTGCCATACCCTCCTTAGGAGATACGATATGATACCAAAGGTGGATGTCTTTATTGACTCCTTTTTCCTACTCAGCTCATATTTCTGCTGTTTTTCTTGGCTTTTAAATAAAAGTTTAGTAGCAAAATTGTGTTAATTTAAGGTAGAATGCATTTCTTGATATAGTGAAGAAGCATTTGCACAGTGGAAGGAGCCAAATCTGCCCATTTCTACTATCTCTTTCAATTGACCATTTATTTCAACTTTTGGTACTAGTTAATAGTCTTTTTCATGTTTCCTTGGGCTAGCACTAAGAACTTAATGTATGTATTATGTCAAATCAGTGTGTATCTATATTCACTAGTCTGCATTATTTACTTTCAGGAATTCAGTGTGTTGATACCTGTTGACATCTTCAGTGTAACAATAAAAATATTGCCTAAATGCAGCTAGATAGCAAATGCTTATATGTAAAACTCTTGAGATGATCTGCATGCACGAGGATTCTTATCATCCTAATACCGTGCCTGCTAACATACACTGACTGCTTACAAGTGGAATCTGCAAAAGTGAGAGCACAAAGGGGTAGGTGCCAAAAACCTCCAGTATGAGATCATGAGGAGTGCATGTGGCTTGAACTTTGACTTCCAAGTAAAACAGAAGTCCACTTGTGGGCAACATGCCTAAAATTTTCCAGGAGTTACATGCAGATTAATTGTAACTCACAAATGGATAACTTCTTAAATGCAAATTCAGAGTATTCAGTCATGGGGTATCTGCACTCCAGTCCAAAGGCATGCCAGCTTCATTATTTTAGTAGTCACAGTTACTGCCTTTCCTGTCTGCTCCTGTGAAGGGATAGAAGCCCTCGCAGACAGAAATGGAAATACTGTGGAATGATTCAGAAAGATTTTTTTCCCCTCAGCAGTGTTTACCAGAATTCAAGTTGAGGGCTTTGTGTATTCTGTAAATTTTTACTTCTCCAGTAGTTGAGCTGCATCAACTCAAGGTTTCCTTCAGCATCAAGCACATGCTCCAAAAGAATTTCTGCTGTGATTTTGCTGTCACACACTACTTTCTTGCAGCTTCTGATACCTGTCACCTGCAAATGATCATCTCCCAGTGCCACTTGTTGAGGAAGCGAAGACTGCCTAATGCATATTTGAAAGAAGGTTTTGCTAATGCAAGAGCTTGTACTGTGTAAATTGTGACATTATTATGTGCCATAGGGGCAATGGTTCACATGCATTTTCCTTTTCTTTTTCAGCTTTTGTAATTGCTTTTCCTTGGTGAGAATGGCAAGGATTCGGATTCCTAGCACAGTTGTTATAATTTTTGTTGCGGTTCAGACCGGATTCTTACTCTTCATGTATGCCCGGTATAGTAGCTTCATGACTCAGCCCGAGGAGAAACCATCTCAAGTCCACATCCTCATTCTCTCTTCTTGGCGGTCAGGATCTTCTTTTGTTGGTCAACTTTTCAGCCAGCACCCCAGTGTCTTCTACCTGATGGAGCCTGCATGGCACGTGTGGGTTACAATGTACCAGAGCAGCGCCAAGGTCTTGCACATGGCAGTGCGGGACCTTGTCAGGTCGGTTTTTCTGTGTGACATGTCTGTGTTTGATGCTTACATGCCTTGGAAAAGAAACTTATCTGATCTTTTCCAGTGGGCAGTGAGTCGGGCTCTGTGTTCAGCTCCTGCCTGTGACTCCTTTCAGCGTACTGACATAACCAGTGAAATGGCATGCAAGACTCTTTGTGGACGGTACCCATTCAGCAAGGTGGAGGAAGCCTGTAAAACCTACAGTCATGTTGTCATCAAGGAGGTTCGATTCTTTGACTTGAAGGTCCTCTACCCCCTTCTCACTGATCCGTCCCTGAATCTCAAAATCATTCACTTGGTCCGTGACCCCAGGGCAGTCGTCAAGTCACGGGAACAATCGGTCAAAGCATTAGCCCGTGACAACGGGATCGTTTTGAGCACCAATGGCACCAAAGTGGAAGACAGCAAATACAAAGTAATGCAAGAGATCTGTAGAAGTCATGTTCAGATTTATGAAACAGCTACTCTAAAACCACCCCATTTCCTTAAAGATCGCTATTTAATGATCCGTTTCGAAGACCTGGTAAGGGATCCATTATCAGAAATCTCAGAAATGTATAAATTCGCTGATCTTAGTTTGACCCCCATGCTCAAAAGCTGGATCCATAATATCACACATGGACAGGGACCAGGAAAGAAAAAAGAAGCCTTCAAAATCACATCTCGAGATGCAGTTAGTGTTTCACAGGCCTGGAGAAATGCTCTTTCCTTCCAGAAAATTAAGCAAATACAGGAAGTTTGCAGAGGTGCTATAAACATGCTTGGCTATCAGCTGGTAGATTCAGAAAAAGAGCAGAAAGATCTGTCACTGGATTTAGTGCTGCCAAGAAGACAGAATCAATTCAGTTGGTCATCATTTAATCCAAAGCACTGAGACATGATTTCTGAGATTGGGGTTGGGGAGTGGTGTGTAGATGGTTGCATATCTGTCTACTATGCAGCATAGAGGTTATTTGAAAATCCTTGGCTGATAAGTTTAACTATCTTCCCATCTGCTGTTTTTCCATAATGGAAGGAGGTTTTTACCCTGAGTTTCTTACACTGAAAAACCCAAAACCAAAAAAAGGCATGAGAAATACTGCGGATACTTGTCAGATTGCACATTTACAGCTGAGCTGTGCTGTTCTCAGCATTGTTTTTAAAATATAATTTAAGTTCATTCTATTAAAAGATGAATTATCAAAGATGACTTTGTTCACTGATAATAGTTTTCTGTTTTCATGCTTTAAATACTTAAGAATTTCAGTTCTTAATGTGTATAAATAACAAAGTAGGAACTAAATTCCTTCTGTTTCTTTTAGAATCATCTGACTCTTTTCCTTTGCTTTAAAGTTGTTGTGAAGAACTTTTCAGACTTCTCTTGATGTTTTAAATTTTAACATAATTTTAATATTTTAATTATGGAGAACTTTTATTAAAAGTGTTCTAAGAGCTAGGACAACTGCAGCAGTTCTGTTGTAAAAGGCTTATGCAGGAGCTTCATTTATTGATAGATTTCTTTTCCATGGAAAAGCAAAGTTTGCACCGAGATAGTTGATGGTGATGTTGGCATGGAATGCAGAAAGCAAAAAAGATGGAGAAACTTCGAGTGGAATCACTGTGGAAATAGCTTGTTAATGCTGCCCCAGTCGTGCATTCTAATGCTGTGACATGGAGTAGGCACACGCTTGATCATGCAGCATCATTCATACCATTACCCTCTCTGTTTAGAGAAACAGGTTGTTTATGAAGATCACTGAGAATTTTGAGGTACCCTGGAAATACTTGTATTGATTATACTGCTGTATGGAAGCTATCAGTTCAAACAGTTGTTGTAGAGAGACAGATGCTTGTGTAAGAGGGCTTTGTGTGGTTTTAACTTTTTTTTTTAATCCAGCATATCTCAGGATGGATAGTACATGTTTGATTGATACCAGATAATCCTCTTAGGGCTACTTGAATGCTGTGCTGTAGCTCGTATATGGTATGCACAAAAATTTTTCAGTGCCACCACTTTAACCTGCTGTAGGAGGTGGATGCTCTTAGTGCTGCGAGGCAGGCCCATCAGTGCTGTGTCTTCTTGGGGGCATTCCTGTTGCTGGGGATTTTTCCTAAGTGTTCCCAGAGCTACAATGGGGCTTGTGGAGTCATATTTTTTTCTGGCTGACTTCTCCAGGGACTAGGAGGTTGTGCTGGCATTTCTCATGCATTCTTCAGTTCTTTGGGGGCCATTTGCTTACTCAGATTACTTGGGGATTCTTCCCTGTCTCAGGGAATATGGAATTCTGTGGTGGTAAGGGTACCCCATTGCTGTCTGTAGCACAAGAGTCTCTTGGGATCCCCTGTGCAAGAGAGGCATGAAGAGATTGGAGAGAATGCAGCGAAGGGCTGCCGAAATGACGAAGGGATGAAGCAGCTCTCGCATGACAAGAGCCCAAGAGTGCTGGGGCTGTTGAGCTGGAGAGGAGGCAACTTGGGCTGGCGTGGGGAGAACATCCTGCCCATGTGTGTGAGCAGCTGACGAGCCAGGCCCTGGCGCGGTGCTGCAGTGGTAGCAGATGATGGCCTGGAAGTCTGCAAGCCCTTCGCTTTCATTCTGTTGCCTGTGCTGATGAACAAGTGGGCAGCTGAGAGGCCTGCTTGTGCTCCCTTTCTGTGGTATTCTTCATGCCAAGTAAGGCAAGCAAGCACTTCTAACACTGTCTGTGCTGCAGTTTCCCTGAGGAGGATCATCTGCCAAAGGCTGAAGACAGCCAGGTGCCTGAGTGCTTAGGCATTAGAAATGTCCACAGTGGACTAGAAGTGTCCACAATGTGGTTAATTGGATAAAATCAAGTCTACTTTGCATTGCATTTCCCCACGGTAGTGTTTTTACCTTCACTCTGGACACTGCCCCACCTTCTGGATAGCCCCGGTAACTCCCATGGTCGCGGGTCCTGCACTGGAGCTGCTGCTCACACGGGGACAGGCAGGTCTGGTGCAAGAGCAGTGTACCACGGTTTCCATGTACTGCTTCTTGCATATGGTCACATTTGAACGGTGGCTAAAACCAGGCTTATAAACAGCAACTGTAAAGTGTTTGTGACGTGTCTCACAGTTCTGCCACACTCACAAATGAAGTGTTTTAAGCTGTAGGCAGAAATACCTTGGTTTCACTGTTTTCCTGCTCCCCCATGTTGTATCTTGTGTAAAACTGAGGGTCTGGAGGTTTGCTTGTGCAGTTTTTTGTTTAGAATTTCTTGGTGAGATTTTCTCACTCAGGTGTTGTGGTTTTCTTGTTAGTTTTGTGGGATTTGGTATTTATCAGTCAGGATTTACAGTTTACTACTCAAGGCGTAGGTTTTTAAATCTAACCTCAGCCAGAGCCTTGGGTAATGTGGTCTAGTGTGAGGCGTCCTTGCCCATGCCAAGGGGGTTGGAAGTGTATGATCATAAAGTCCTTTGAACCCAAACAACTCTATGATTCTATGATAAGTTGTAAAGCCCCAGCAAGCATTTGGGTTCTGATATTTGCAGTTTTTCAGCTAGAGTTTAGGGTTTATAGCTTACTGTTAAATAGACAGGTGTAAGTCCTGAGATAAAAAGCTTTGGGCTATTTATAGAATCATAGTGTTACAGAATAGTTAGGGTTGGAAAGGACCTTAAGATCATCCAGCTCCAACCCCCCTGCCATGGCCAGAGACACCCTCACACTAAACTATGCCACCAAAGGCTCAGTCCAACCTGGCTCTGAACACTGCCAGGGAGGGAGCATTCACAACTTCCCTGGGCAACCCATTCCAGTGCCTCACCACCCTCACAGGAAAGAACTTCTTCCTTATATCGAATCTGAACTTCCCCTGTTCAAGTTTTAACCTGTTACCCCTTGTCCTGTCACTACAGTCCCTAATGAAGAGTCCCTCTCCAGCATCCCTATAGGCCCCCTTCAGATACTGGAAGGCTGCTATGAGGTCTCCATGCAGCCTTCTCTTCTCCAGGCTGAACAGCCCCAGCTTCCTCAGCCTGTCTTCATACAGGAGGTGCTCCAGCCCCTGATCATCCTCGTGGCCTCCTCTGGACTTGTTCCAACAGTTCCATGTCCTCTTTATGTTGAGGACACCAGAACTGCACACAATGCTCCAGGTGAGGTCTCACGAGAGCAGAGTAGAGGGGCAGGATCACCTCCTTGGACCTGCTGGTCACGCTCCTTTGGATGCAGCCCAGGATACGGTTGCTTTCTGGGCTGCGAGCACACACCGAAGCCAGCTCATGTTCATTTTCTCATCGACCAACACCCCCAAGTCCTTCTCCACAGGGCTGCTCTTCTCTGCCCAACCTGTAGCTGTGCCTGGGGTGGCCCTGACCCAGGTGTAGGACCTTGCACTTGGCATGGTTAAACTTCGTAAGGTTGGCTTTGCCCAGCTCAGAAGTGTGTCCAGGTCCCTCTGGATTGCATCCCTTATCTCCAGCATGTCGACTGCACCACACAGCTTGGTGTCATCGGCAAACTTGCTGAAGGCGCATCAGTCCCACTGTCCATGTCACTGACAAAGATGTTGAACAAGACCAGTGCCAACACTGACCCCTCAAGGATGCCACTCATCACTGGTCTCCATTTGGACATTGAGCTGTTGAGTGCAACTCTCTGTATGTGGCTATCCCTGAAAGGCACTCAAACTTCACAAGGTATTGATTATACTTTCACTTATTGAACTTAACACCAAAAGGAAAAAGAGGTTAGGATGGATAGTTCTGTGTCCATCAGATGCTGGGAACTCCGATTTTCACAGAACCAGAGTGACCTTAAGCCAAGACATAGCATATCATGCAGATCCTCTCTGTAGGGAGGTTCCACCAGTGTCTCAGTCTTTAGAGCTCTTACAGGATTTTCTTAGAAGAAAATTATTCTATTTTTCATTTCTGTCATCAGAGGAAAGGATGTTCATGTGGGAACCTGCTGCTTCACTTTACAATCAAGACGTGTAGGTGCTCTCTCTAGTCACCAGTGCCAAGTGGGAGCTGCCTACAGACTCCTTTTTTACAGTTAGCCAACCAAGTTTATTTTGTTAGCAGGGGATATGCACAACACAGGCTGGGAGGTGAAGTTATACGTGCAGCATAGCACAGCTCTGGCCTGCACCTTCTCAGGTTAAGTGGATCGCTAGCTCCTTGATCATACTTTGGGTTAGGATTACTAGCGTAACCTTCCCACTACCCCTCATGCAGCTCTGTGCTGTAATGGGAGTTTGGGGATGGAAAGCCCCAGGTGAAGCCAGTGGGGCTGACGGCCCCTCTACATCCAATGCAGTACAGCTGAGCAGGGGGTGTGCAGCTCTGGGGGGCTGTACAAGGGCCTGTCTGGGACAATGGATCTGGTGCCGAGCACTGCCTGCTAGGACCAGAACCGACCACAACTGCAGAGAAGGTGAGCTGGGACAAGGGGTCCCTGCAACGGGAATGTCCTGGGAGTGTGACACCAGCGGTGGAGGCCATGGATGGTGGAGCAGTGCTGGGTGAGAGCTGGTCTGGAGCCGTGGAAGGTGTGCACTGGAGAGGTGTTCCATGGCTCGCCTGGAGCAGCTACGGTTCAGCCCCTGCTCTACCCCAGGCACCCCTTCCCTGCAGCTCTTTGGCACTGCCTTACCTGAGCTGCCCCAGGGCTCTGCCCCATGTCCCTCTCCTAGCATGAGTAATTAGTAGTAACAATTGACATCAAGTAGGTAAAAGATAAATGAATCCCATTGGGAGTAATGGGATCCCGTTAGGGATCTAGCAACAATAAGACCTGCACACATGAAGAATGGCACAGCCTTAGTTAAACTAATCAAGTGCAAAATGGTCTAAAATCCTTGTGCATCTGTAAGAATAGTATTCTTTATAATTGTATTTTCTTTGTATTTAATTACTTCCCCTTTAAAGCAATGATAATTTTCAAACAATAACGAGGTGCAAAATAACAAGACAGTACTTCAAATGAAAATGATTAGATGCACAGCAGGTTTCAATTGAAAGTTTTTAGTACTTTACAATGTAAATTTTCAGAAACACAAAGTAGATTAATAAGAAGAAGGGTCAGCATATACTACATTACGTGACAAGTCTTCCCAATCCTCATGTCATAATGTTTGAGGCTCTTCACAACATCCAGCAGTGCTAAGGTTTCAAAGGCGTATCAAAGGCATTGATGTGAAAAGACTGAGAATGAAAAAATGAATCAATAAATGTGTTGGGCAAATGTTTAACCTTTAAGTTTGGCTTGCATTCACATCCTGAACTAACATCATTACAGACACTTAAACATTTGTCAGTGTTAAATATGTGTTTACTGAGTAATTATATTTGACATCAGGAAGTTTGCAAAACTCTGTATTCCTTCTGTGTTATGGTATGTGCCCTTCTGTGTAAAAGTTTTCTGAATGTCATGTTGAGTAATTTATTAATTTCCAGCTTCTTTCTAACGTGCCTGAGGTGGCTGCTTTAGAAGATATTTTTATTTTTCAAATATCTTTATATTATTAATATATCTTAACATAATTATATATTAAGATAAAATAACATATCTTTTAAATATCTTTAGAAGCTATTTCTAATAACTTCTTGCATTTAAATATATTGATGGTATTTCCCTACATCCCACTACCTTGCAGTTTCCAGTAGGCCAGCCGATTAAGATGTTAATAAACTGCATGACCAAGTGAGTTTTTTAGTGTAGCTATAATTGTGCATTTTAAATGGTCAGTTTGTTTGCTTTGAGAATTCCCCTCTGTACAGGATTACCTTTGTTCAAAACATACTGTGCAAGTCACTGATTAACAGGGGTTAGCGGATAGCTCATTGCGTTATGGAATTTTGATGTTGTACCTGTCCTCATCAGTGAGTGAAGAAAAGAGGAAGTTTCTAAATGCTGCTCTTTCATCCTTTGCCAGGGCAGGCTTTAGCAGAACTGGGAGAAGGGCTGTTGCTGGCCACAGTGAGCTGGTCCCCGGCTCAGCTGAAGGTGGTGCAGGGCCACTGGGACTCCTTCCCTGCCCCGCAGGAAGCACCATGGGGCTTTGCTCCTCACTGCATGCCAGCCTCTGGGCAAAGCTCAGGTTTTTGCCCCTGCCCCACAGAAGAGGTGTCCCAGAATCACAGATGTTAGTGGTTTTGGTGATATGTGGCTTTTCATATTTTTTGATGTTTCTCTTCATGCATTAAACGCAGAAAACAGGTCAGCTACTTTCTGTTCAAAACAGGAATCATAGAATGGTTTGGGTTGGGAAGGACCTTAAGATCATCCAGCTCCAACCCCCCTGCCATGGGCAGGGACACCTCCCACTAAACCATGTCACCCAAGGCTTCATCCAACCCGGCCTTGAACACTGCCAGAGATGAGCATTCACAACTACCTTGCACAACCCATGCCAGTGCCTTGCCACCACTCACCAGTGGTGAGTGAAGCACTGGAAAGAACAAGAAAGAAATTCTTCCTTATGTCTAACCTAAACTTGCTTGACTATGCAAAAACATCAAATATAACAATGACTTTCACACAAAGAGCTGAAGGGAGGAGCAGAGTGGGGTTGGGGCTTTATATTAACAGCTGGATGTTGGTTTTCAAATGTTTTACTTGTAGGAGTGTGGGACTTTAAGCAAAACTACTTGAAAAAATCCAGGGTTGGGAAAGAGATTTTGATTGACACCCCAGAAGGGACCCAAATTCACTTCTTAAGAAAAAAACGAAGAATACCCCACCTTGATTGCATACCCAATGAAGTAGCAATTCTTTGTACTGTTGAGAGAAAAACATCTCTGAATAAACCATAGAATCACAGAATAGTCAGGGTTGGAAAGGACCTTAAGATCATCCAGTTCCAGCCCCGCTCCCATGGGCAGGGACACCTCACACTAAACCATGTCACCCAAGGCTCTGTCCAACCTGGCCTTGAACACCGCCAGGGATGGAGCATTCACAGCTTCCCTGGGCAACCCATTCCAGTGCCTCACCACCCTCACAGTAAAGAACTTCTTCCTTATATCCAATCTAAACTTCCCGTTTCAGTTTGAACCCATCACCCCTTGTCCTATCACTACAGTCCCTAATGAAGAGTCCAAGTACAGAGAAAGTCTCCTGGTTATCTCCCTTGTGGAACAATAGTTGAGAAAAGAGCTCATGCCACAGAAGGTCTGTAACTCAGTAACATTTATTGTTAAACCAGTGAAAGGGTAATTGTAAAAACCCATTAGAGTTGTGCAGCACGTCACCAGGAGCTATGTATACTAGAAAAAAGGCTGGGAAGTCTAACCTTGTTGTCTCTCCCAGTGTAAAGTGGGAACCTGTTTGAATGTGAACCCTTAAAGCAGCACTGGTGTTACCAATAAAAATATGACTCACTCTCTGCATACTGTTCTAAAGACTGTAGACAAAAACATTTTAAATTGTTCTCAATGTCAGTGGTTTTCAGAATGCAGAGAGAGGAACAGACGACAATGTCAATGCCACCAACGACACTGTTTCTGAATAGTTGCACAAGGTCACAGCTGTTTTTTCGCAAGGAGGGACCTGACTGCTCAAGTGTTTTACTCATGTACCTCTGCTTTGGACTTGAGTAACAAATTCCTCTCGCAGGGGAAGCTGTTTGAGGTTTGTTTTTCTCTAGTGCCACAAGGCTTGTGCTGTCAACTCCTGCTCCGTAGCTGTCCTCGTTTCCAATCACACCTCTTCTCACACAGATGCACCTGAACAAGTCTTCAGCAGGGGCCTAAGGCAGAAGTAAACAATCCAAATGTCTAGAACCTGAAAAGCAGTGGCAAAGAGGAGAGAGAGCTCCACACAGAGGTGAGAGGGGACAAAAAAAAGCTTCACAGTGAGACAAGAGGGGGCATAAAATTACAAAATGGAATATATAAACCTTTAGAATCAGTTCTAAGTAATGTTCAGTTTGGTGGCTTTGTAACAGTAGCAATGGAGAATTACTGAGGTGCATGATAACACACAAAAAATAGCGTACAGCTAGAGAACACACAGAGAACTCTTGTACAAGATAAACCATTGCAGTTGGTGTAGCTTTAGGCCCTTATGACCTTAGTACAAAATGAATGCAAGAAAAATAGGCTAGAACAGGATGCAAGGCTAAGGAGTATCTGGGAATAGGAGGTGCCCGGGATGGGTTGCAGTTAAACTAACTGATAAGTAGGAGGACAGGAGGATTGCTGTGTCTGTGGTGCTAACGAACCAATTAAGCTGGTATAAGCATCTACTGTGTGCTTTGAAGGCTGCCAGAACTGATGAAGATTGTTGGAAGAAGTAAACGACCCTCACGGACCACCCCCACAATTCTGTACGCATGTGGGGAACTTTCTGGAAAATGATGTAATCCATAGGTAGCCTCATGAATATGTATGTATGCCCAGGGACTACATAAGGCCGGCTTGTGCAGCAGTACGGGGACACGCGTTAGGAGGAGCTGTTTTCTGTGTCTTCCGGCACCGCAGTAAAGAGTACCTGTCAGCTTGGAAACTGTTGGCGAGTTTGTTCCTGGAGTTTTCTCCGAATCAGCAGCGATCTCACCAGCACCGCTCTAAATAAATTAAAAAATGCCACAATTACGTCTTTCGTTTTTACAGACAGAAGCGCGCACGCACGTGACAGAGATCTTACAGTGCATTATAAAACAAAGAATCCACCCTGCGGAGGTCTTAAACGCAGCGAGCTTCGTGGGGCGCAGTTCGCAGGCCCGCTTCGGGGCGGTTGGTTGGTTTAACACCAGGTAACAACAGACGTAAACCAGCAAACGTCCGCCTGCGATACCGACGAGCGGCGAACGCCAACGGCAGCCGCCGGTGCTGGCAGAGCAGCTCCGGGTTTGCACCCGCAGTGTCGGAACGCGCCCGGTTCCCGAGCGCCGGCTGCGGCCCGGCCCGGCCCGGCCCAGCGCGCCGCTTTGGGGCACGCACCGGAAGGGACCGGACAGGACGGGCGCGGCGCCGGCAGGGGGCGCCCCAGCGCCGCCTCCCCGCTGCTGTCGAGCTGAGGGAGCGGGCGGTGGTTGTGGCGCCGGCAGCCGGGACCCGGTGGCCGTTCCCCGGGGCAGCGTTTGCTAGCGGGCCCTGAGGCCGGTCCGGCCGCCTCTCCTCGGCCGGCACCCCGGGACGCTCCGGGGCAGCCCCTTCGGGGGGTCCCTGCCGCGTGTCGCCGGCGCGAAGGAGCCCCGAGCTCCGGTGGCAACGCGCAGCCGGCGGGGCCTGGCTGAGCCGCGGGTCTGGTCTGTGATAGCGGAGGCGCGGTGCTGCGCGTGCCCTCAGGTGGGGCTGAACAGGCAGTGGAGGCCAAGCAGGTAAACAGCAGAGGCTAAACTGAAATGCTTTGTGTAAATATGCAACAAATGTTTGCTCTGGGTTCGGTCCTAGGAGAAGGAAGGAATGGGGTGTGTGCTCCTCAGTAAAAGGCGTGTGGTTAGCACTGTGGAAGGCTGCATGCTGGTGTGAGTGCTCAGTAGTTGTCTGTGGGTCTCAGTGCTGTGAAGGCATCGTGTATTTTGCTGTTCCTTCTTAATTTTCAGTGAACAACAGTGGTGAAATGTGCAGTGGGAGAGAGGAATCCCCCTTCCTAACTGTAAAATAGGGCATTTTGTCACTGAAACGTTCTTTACATGATGTCCTCAGTGTGCATGAGAAGAGTACCCTGTGAGCAGGGGACATGGTGAGACCTGGAACTTAAAACCATTGGCAAACCAGCTACACCAGTTGATGCCTGTGGGGTCAAGCAGAGAATGTGCAGAGTGTGGTGGGCGTCAGGAGGACACATGGGGCCGTGCAGTGTGAACTGCTGAACTTCTGGTGCTGGGCCTAGGAAGCTGCTGCTGCCAGGAGTGCAGAACCACCTCGATCCCACACTGGTGGCCCTTCCCCTGCCTCTTGGAGCAATACTGCCATGTGCCATGTTGCCTGCTGTCAGTTTTTTCAGGCTGTGCCATTAATATGTGCTTGCTTTCATCCGTAACAGCATGAACCTCACATTCATTTTCTGCATGGATTGACCAAGTGGGTTGGTCACTGTGAGTCTCCAGGTTGCACCCAAGAAGAGCCCAATACAGGGACATACATGGAGGAAGTTTAGAAGTTTGTTCTTTGAGGAGCAGGATGGGTAAGTACACACTGACAAAGCAGCAGTAGGATTGGCACGCTGCCATACCACTATTTCTGTGTTCCCCAGTAGTGGGAGCAGGTTCTAGTCACAACATGAAAGGGGAAGGTGAGAAAGATGTGGGGTAAGAATACGAAATGCCAGAACTGTGGGAAGGTGCAGGTATTATATGCAGAGTGGTATAGTATTAAAGGAAGCATGCATGAAATTAAAGTGGAAAAAAAGAGGTGTGTCTAAGAAAAGCTGCTGAAAGCATTTTGTAGCATGCTGTGAAGAGAGGACTGCATCTTGTGAGCTTAGCTTTCCTTCCAGAATAACATCATTCTGTGCATGTTCTTCATCTGAACTCTTTTCTTGCTATTGCTGTTCTGTTTAAACAGAGACACTGAAGGTTTGCAAAGTATAAGCTTAGCCTATTCTCTCATCTGTGCGCGTATTTTTAAGCTTTAGTACGCACTAAACATGATTTATCTGCATTTATCTGACCTGTTAACAATATGAGAATTAAGAGTCTGAAGTTGATGGTTCTGGGACATATATGACTTCCTTTAAGACTATATCCTGAAGCATGGAATCAGACTCTACAACTCAGAGTTACAAAGCAGGTATGTTTATTACGGCGCCAGGTGCAAGGAGGATCGCTCCTCCTAACTTGCACACTGAGGAGTTAAGCAAGCAGATATTTATTACACACAAACATGCATATTCATTAGGTTCTGAGAGAGCAGTGGGGATATGACAATTAGTTTAGGTACTCGTTATTATAAGTCTCTTCCCTTTTGGTGTTTGCGCACTGCCCTCTGATGATTGTGCACAGGGGTCTTCAAGATGAAGTAAGCAATCTTCCTCGTGGTGCACTTTCCACCTTTGGCACAGTTGGATGCTCCAGGAATCACAAAACCAGCTGGAACCAGCCATATGTGTAAGTTTCTGATAGCTGGCAAAGATTTAGGACAATGTGACCTTCGTACAAAATTTATTGCAAGCAAAACAGGATGGGCAGACAAGCAGTATCCTAAGCTAGCAGATATTTGGGAGTCGCTGTCTCCAAAGTAACTGATAATTAGAAGTATGGTAAGAAATAATTCACTCATTAGAAGGATGGTCACTCACGTTAGTAAGACTACTAAATTCTGTTATTACACCACAGACTTCCAACATAAACATTGTTCTCTATCTTAGACCTAAGTTAAGTTAAAAGTATTTTAACCCTTTGTTTTCCGGGCACTTGCTTTCCTGATATCAATCCTTTAATGAAGGATATGTAAAGTGTAGAATTTTAGCAGTTGGAAGTGCATGGCTTAGTTTGGTTCTGTTTCTTGATTGCATTTTAACATAGTAGGCAATTAGGAAAATCTGCTGCAGTAAGGAAAATTCAGTTGGAATGGAAACATCTGAGAAAGGCAGCTGACGTAGGGTAAGGCATGCATCAGATCAGCAGTACACAGACACAGTAGAAAGACAAGTTCGTGTAAGGTAAGGGAGCAGTTTGTAGACACTGTCTACTTCACGGGTGGTTCTTCTGTGAGAACGGGGGCGGGGGGTATCACTTTAAAACTGTGAGCATATGGCTCCATCTTCTGGTACCAAAGCAAAATGCATTGCTCTGGGCATAGGAGGAGGTGAGGTGATTTCTGTTAGAGATTTATGTTAGCTGCAACTAAACCAGCAGCAGCAACAATAAATTAAAATACCTGACCCTCAGGTACAACACACAAGTTACTAGTGTAGTTTTCCTGAAGCTACACACCATTCTGCTGCATGGGAAGAAAACTGTCCTTTGAAATATTCTCTGATGTGTGTAGTCCCCAGAGTGGCTTGGCTTCCTATACAAAACCAATGCTTGATCAGAGCGTGGACTGTACCAGCAAAACTTGATGTCCACGTAGGTGCTAATACTGTCTCCTGATAATAGCTGTAGGATTTTGTTTTCCCCTTCCCAACAGTGTAGCTAAAATTCATGATACATCTTCATGGAAGTGCTGCCTGGCTAGAAGTAGGAATGAATGGTTTTCTGAGGTAGACTTCCAGAAGTCTAAAGAAAATAAACCTGCTTTATTACGTCACCACACAGTGAATGTTGTTATAGTACATACTGCACATGCTTAATTGAACTTGATTACTCAATCTGTTCTCATTAATAACTAATTTTGTTTTTTAAAAAAAGTCATTGTTCAAAACCAGAAGATGTTACTGTTCTGTGGGTAAGCCTTAGGTTTTCTAAATATCTTAAACATTTAAAACCCCTTCTTGGAAATTTATTTTTTTGAGAAACAAATGTCAAATAAGTTATCCTAGCTCCGAACTGCCATTCTGAAAATGCAGCTGAGAAAAGAGGTTACTTGATACTGTGATGTGGAGTGTATAAGGATCTAGATTGAGAATTATGTAACAATAGGGACCTAAAATAACAAGCAGAAAAAGCGTAATTTCATCTTCTTCTGCAAAGATTTGCTTAAAGAATGTTAATGTGAAGTTTTAAATCTCATTTGAATTTTTTATAGCTGTTATAATCTCTGATATATAACCTTGCAAATAGGGCCTCATAACAGAAATGTCAAGTACCTTGATGATTGCCTCACAAAAAAGAGTTTCTGTAATAGGCTACAGCTGTGAGAGAAGTTTGCAAGGCTGGCTTATGTGTCCCATCATCAAATGGGGCTGGGCTCTTCACAGTATTTTAGAGTATTTCTGTGTATCTGATCAGCTGTATGCAGCTGTTTCAGTAGTGTCAGCCTTCTGCGTGTAATAGGTACAAGCCAGTATGTCCGTATCCACTGAAATGTTGCCACAGGGAGAGGCTTGGAAACTAAAGATCTTATTTTCTTTCTTTTCTGTCCTTATTCTTCTATACTTCTGCATGAAATAAGTGGAGGCTCCCCAGGAGCCTGGGCTGCAGGCGGATTCCATGTGCCAGTGCTCTTTTCCCTCTTATTATCATACACTTGCAATCAGACTCTAATTTTTGAAATAAAAAACCTGCAGGATTCTTTATTGGGACTGTAAAACTTTCAATCTTCATTATTTAGGATGGCTAGTTGCATTCTACTCGATGAATCCATGATGCAACTGCTCCTGTAAAAACTATTGAAATGGCTACTGTGGCAATGAGTAGATTTTCCTCCGTGTAAAATAATCCTCTGTGACTGAGACATAACTACCATTCACATTAATTAGGCAGCCATACAATGGGGTGTTCAATAGCTATTACATAATTTAAATTCTTCTGTGAGCACCTCAGCCACTGAAGAACTAACTATTCAGCTGAACATTTCTGAGCCTGTAATTTTGAAATAAACTTTTAGAGGAAGAATATGCAGAGCAGAGCGTTGCAGGCAATTTCTTTCTGAGAAATAATTCAGATTTATGGGGTTATTTTAACATTTACAAGAAGTGCATAAACCTATTTTTCCTCCCCTCCCAGAACAACGGTGCTGTTAAGTGGAGTCGTTTTGGGGCAGATACTGTATGTACACTAGAGGGCGGCCAAGGAGTTGGTAGTTAGAGGTCTATCCTGGCTGTTGGAGTCAGATACACAAGAAGCATGTTTCTAAACCTTCTGTCCCAGTCATGGGGCTCTGGAGCCACATGGCTGACAGACCAGTGGGTGCAGTCATGCTGGAGGTTTTGGTTTTGAAGTTTTAACTTTTGCCTTTAACAAGCATATGAGGACTTCGGCATTTATATTCCATTTTGGTTATTGTTTTAAAATGTGTGAGGTCAAGCTGAAGTCCTTTGGCATTTCTGGTAATATCATACTTCCCAGAAACTATTATATGAATATTATAGTTTTTGTTCTATCTTATTATATATTTTTGTATATTTTAAGATTAGGGTCGTGGTTTAAGCCCAGCTGGTAACTCAGAACCACAGAGCAGCTTACTCCCCCTGTGCCCCTTCTTCCTCCCCCTGCTCCCAGAGGGATGGGGAGGAGAATGGAAAGAATGTAACTCCCACAGGTTGAGATAAGAACTGTCCAGTAACTAAGGTATGACACAAACCACTGCTGCTACCACCAATAATAATAATGATAAGGGAAATAACAAGGGAAGAGAATATAACTGCTCACCACCAGCCGACCGATACCCAGCCTGACCTGAGGAGTGATCTAGCCTTTCCGGGTAACTGCCCCCAGTTTATATACTGGGCATGACATGCTGTGGTATGGAATACCTCTTTGGTCAGTTTGGGTCAGGTGTCCTGTCTCTGCTTCCTCCCAGCTTCCCCATCTCCCTGGCAGAGCATGAGGCTCACAAAGTCCTTGGTCAGGGTAAACATTACTGAGCAACAACTAAAAGCATCGGTGTTATCAGCGCTGTTCCCAGGCTGAAAGTCAAAAGCACAGCACTGCACCAGCTACTAAGAAGGAGAAAAATGACTGCTACTGCTGAGCCCAGGACACTGCCTTACCAGAAGCATACATTTTCATCACAGGCTGTGGGGAAGGGTGACTCAGAACTGGAGTTAGTTACCATAGGAATGACAGAATTAAAGAAGGGGAGCGTGAGACAAAGATGAGTCAAACCTCTGTGAAATTCCATGGAATTGTCCATTGTCAACAAATAATCTGACGCAGTATGTAGGACCATGGTTTGGTGAATGTTGTAAGCTCTGTCAATCCAGTTTTTATCTAACAGAATGAATGGGGATGGGTATTTGTTCTGTAATGTGCTTTACTCAGGGAGGCTTTGCATGTTAAGGAGCTCACTCTGGGTGCGGAGGCAGTACATCTGGGGTGGGAGGCACAGCTGATAGGGGTTAGTCTTTACTGAAGTATTTTCCATATCATTTGGAGTTTGGGTGTTCTTAGAGGCCAGTTGGGCATTTGCGTAATCTCTGGTGGTTGCAGGAGACTGGGCTGTTATAGCTGCTACTGGCTGTTAGGGATCTTCTGTCCTGCAGATGCTGCTGCAACATCATATGATGTGTAGGCTGAAGAAGATGGATCTGTTGGAGCCCAAAAGGAGAGGCTGTGGACTGTTGAAGCCTTGTACTTTGATTACTTAAGGTAAGGCCTCCCTTGGTTGAGGCAAAGGGAGATTAATTAGGGAAACTGTAGTGTGTGCTGAGAGAGGATTGTAAATACCAGAGCTGGGAATTAGCCATCCAGTGGTATTCAGTGGAAGAGTATGAGTAACTGCAGCAGGAATAATAAGGTGACCAGAACATTTTATTACTTAGAAAACATGTCTCTGCATGCTTGCTTGTATTATCTGTAGCAATATTAACCACAAAGGAGAAATTCAAGGTGAAACCTATCAGTTGAAAGAACCTACTTGCACATACTTATACCAGGCAAAGATGTTGTGAGGTGGGCTGATGCCAACCTTATGAAGTTTAACCATGCCAAGTGCAAGGTCCTACCCCTGGGTCAGGGCCACCCCAGGCACAGCTACAGGTTGGGCAGAGAAGAGATTCAGAGCAGCCCAAGGAGAAGGACTTGGGGGTGTTGGTTGATGAGAAAATGAACATGAGCCGGCTTCAGTGTGCGCTCACAGCCCAGAAAGCAACCGTATCCTGGGCTGCATCAAAAGGAGCGTGACCAGCAGGTTGAAGGAGGTGATCCTGCCCCTCTACTCTGCTCTTGTGAGACCTCACCTGGAGCATTGTGTGCAGTTCTGGTGTCCTCAACATAAAAAGGACATGGAACTGTTGGAACAAGTCCAGAGGAGGCCACGAGGATGATCAGGGGACTGGAGCACCTCCCGTATGAAGAAAGGCTGAGAAAGTTGGGGTTGTTCAGCCTGGAGAAGAGAAGGCTGCGTGGAGACCTCATAGCAGCCTTCCAGTATCTGAAGGGGGCCTATAGGGATGCTGGGGAGGGACTCTTCATTAGGGACTGTAGTGATAGGACAAGGGGAAACGGGTTAAAACTTAAACAGGGGAAGTTTAGATTGGATATAAGGAGAAAGTTCTTTACTGCAAGGGTGGTGAGGCACTGGAATGGGTTGCCCAGGGAAGTTGAGAATGCTCCATCCCTGGCAGTGTTCAAGGCCAGGCTGGACAGAGCCTTGGGTGAGATGGTTTAGTGTGAGATGTCCCTGGCCATGGCAGGGGGGTTGGAGCTGGATGATCTTAAGGTCCTTTCCAACTCTAACTATTC